CGTCTGGGGTGTCGAAGGCGTCCTCGGCACGGTTCAGGTGGGCACGCGGAGGTGACGCTTTGGTGGGCCTGATGTCGATCCTGGTGGGGCGGTGGCGCACGTCCCCTCAGTGTCTGCAGGCGTTGGCAGGCAGAGAGGGGGTCACGCTGTGACAGCCTGCCCCCTGTGGGAGCGCATGGGGGGGAGCCGTGCCCCAAAGAAGCCTGCGAGGGAGCCACACTCGCACCCCTGGCCTGGGTGGGGGCATGGAGGGGCGCTCGCTGAGGGACCCTTTTGTGTGAGTGTGGGCAGGAACAGCTCCAAGGTGCCCTCGTCCTACCTGTACACTGGCATGGAGGTGTGTTTGGGGCCCACCGGCAGTCACCATCACTCCCCCAGCTGCTGGAGGTCTTGGGTTTGGGGTAAAGTGGTGACAGCAATGAGGAAGAGCGATGTGAGCCCTTTCCCAGCTTTGCTCTGTCTGTGCTGGGTGATGATCCGAGTTCGACAAAGTAAGTGTGACAGGGGGGCACCCTGGCTCTTCCTCCATTGATTTCTCAGGGTGACCCTCGCTAGCTCTGTGACTGAGGGTATGGGTACAAGGCAGTAAACGATCACACTAGATTTCCATTCTTTAGGTGGGTATTTTAGATTTTGATGCTGAATACTTTCTACTTTGTTGATTTGGATTTTAGTTCTGTCTATTAGTTGCTGTTGTCAGTGGCCATGAAGCTTCCCTTTCTCACCCAGGGCTTTGGAGCAAAGAAATGGTTGTAATTCCGTTGAGAGAAATATACAGCACTGCCTCAAATTTAAAAATAAGAAAAGTAGCCACAGCAAAACCTCACTGCAATACGAGAGAAAGAATTTGCAATTGGAAACATTTGATTATAAACCAGTAGTAAGTGTTTTGCAGCATATATACCAGGATTCCCATGAAGTATTCAGAGCTAAGCCTCATCCTGCAGAAAGTGCAGTTACGGTGGATGTCATCTCCCCATCTTTACCACTGATTTCACTGGCAGTCTCATAGATGTGACCACAAGTGTGTGGTTAAGTGATGTCCTGATTTTTCACCTATGGCCTGATGCAGTTTCTGTGAAAGTTAGCAACTCCTACGAGCTTAGTGAGGTAAGTTAAACAGACAGTGGAAGTCCTCGTAGTTATTGCTGTCACTTGCTGAGTGACAGTGTTGTTTATGTTTTTGAAGGTTGCCCACCAATACATTTTCCCTTGACAGCTGGCTCCAGGTGATGCTTGAAATATGTTTTTTAATAAAGGATCAGTTCTGAAGAAAAACTACCGGAAGTGTCTATCTTTGCTCATCAATGACATACCCACGCTGCTCTCATCATAGCTGTCTGAATCCTGAAGGAAATTTGGCTGTCAGTTACCTGACAAAACAGTAGTGCGCGCGGTGATCGTGCTGCAGGTTGTCTTTCACCAAGTGCTTTCTGGAAAGTTGCTGACAGCATCGAATCTGCAGCTTTTACGATAAGGAGTCTTTCCACTCAACTTTGCTGGAGGACTGAGGAGTACGGAGTAAATGTTAAATGGAAGGTACCTAGAGAAATAGGAGGGTAGACATGCTGATTGCAGTTGTGCTCTGGAGTTGCAGCTGTCAGCTGGGTTTTCAGTCCATTTCCGTCCACTCTTGGACACAACCTGTAGGTACTTGCTTTCTAAATTTTCCATCTGTACTAGACCATCTTGAACCATCAGTGGCTTGGGTAAAGATATTCTGAGTCTGCAAAATGAATGCTGTAGTTAACACAATGATAGAAAATTGTGACACAGTGGTATTCATCTCTTAGAAGGTTAGGTGTTTAAAAATTTTTAAACATTATATTCTGATTTCAACCCCAAGCAGCTGGAGTAAAGCAGTGTCAGAGCCATAACAACAGTGTCTAAATCAGTGTTTTCATATTCTTTAAGTCTCCTGTTCTGTATCTTGATCTTTCAGGTAGGGAGACAACTTTGAAAATTGCTGTCGTGTTTTAAAACTTTAAGCAAATTTGCATTTTAGGACTAGCATACGCTTAGTAAGCACAGTTGAACACATTAATTTAGGATTATGGCAACCGTACTTTGCAACTGAGACTTTACTGTCAATTCAACATTTTCCCACACCTGAGACGAAGACATTATTTTCTGATTATTGTGGCAAATACATTTTTGTTTTGTGTCAGCTGAAATGATGACTAACTCTAAAAACATTTGAGTGAAATCCAGGTCTTACTGAAATCAAGACAAAACTGTGAACATCAGTCTTAGCCTCAGAATGCTAGCTACTGACTCATACATCATTTAGGTTATGGTGAGGGTGCCTAGTGGTAAACTTTCTTAATAACTGTGGTAATTATTTTTTTTACCATTACTGCCTGATTTAACTTCAGCAATGTCTTTTCTGGGAAGTATAATGATGTTAAAAATGGGTTATTTTCTATTAATGAAATGGTACTTAATATTTGTCATTTTCTTTATCCTAAACTGTGATCTCTAAAAATAGAAATTTATAGAAATTCAAATATAAGTTGCCATGGTAACCTATTGGGGGATAGTGCACGCACAAGATTATTCTAGCAAGACCATCCAGTGATGTTATATAAATAGTGGAAGTAGTTTGTTGACAAGAAGGTTTATTTTATTTGAGATTCTAAAAAAAAATAATCTCAACTTTTAGTGAATCCAGTTTGATATTCAGATAGCGACACCTACTAAACATGGCTTTTGCAAATGTAGAATATAATCCATATACATACAATTGCTTTGAAGCCTGCAACACTTTTCATTGTTTCTCAGGTCCAAGAGTTACATCTGAATATTACTTCATTTTTTGTTTTATCATTTTGGATTTCATAGACTGGGAAATGGAATTGAAGGGTACAGCCGTACTCTCTTTTCATTCCAGGCTTAACAGAGCAATCATTCACAAAATGCAGTTTGACAGAATGCTCTTACATAGATATGGGAAGCTACTGATTTAAGATGCTGTCATAGGAGGAGAAGCATTGGGCAACTAAATCTCTCCGTGTGTTGGTTTAAGCATCTCTTAAACAGGCACTTACCTGATTCTTATCTGAATCAAAAGTGTGTGTTATGAGTTTTGCTAGTTAATACCTGTAAATGATTTTGGTATCCTTCGATGGCTCATAAGGACAAAGTGCTCGCTATACATTACTAAAGTGCAAAGACAAGTCTAAGTTGTTTGTAAGAAAGTAGAAGAGGTGTTATTAGGCACCGAGTTTAAGAGAGCATCTCTAGATGCCCAACAAGACCTAGAATGTCAGTGCTAGTCTTGTATACCGTATTTCACAGTAATTAAGCTTTTAAGGCCTTTTACTTTTGAATAATAGTCGAAACACAATGCTGTTTAAAGAAGTAATTAGTATTTGTCATTGATTTTTCCTAAGGATTATGGATTACTCATGTACTTAGTGCAGGAAATCAAAAACAGCCCCGGGATTCACAAAGTTCATAGCCACATATCCTTCACTTTCCGAGAAGATGTAAATCTGTTCATGGGAAGGGGGACGGCGCCTGTGAAGTTGGGTACCTCAGCAGCGCGGGAGTCAGTGTGGCCCCAGGGCGCTCGAGCAGGTGCTGCTTGCGACACCCGATTCCAGAAACTGAAGGCAAGTCACACAACCTCCTTGCAGACGACCTTTATCTACAGGAAGAATCATAATTACCCAGTTTACAAGGGAAGGATGAAAACCAATTAGCAAATATTTGTAAAGTTTGCTGTAAGTGTGTTTTCTCTGAAATGCAAATAAAACCGGTGAAAGCCTTGCAGTCTAGGCATCAAGATGCTTACACTTTGCAAGTGTTCTTAAAAATCTTATGCTGCTTCTTTGTGACACGAGGAGCTGGATTTGAACAGCGCGCAGTACTGTTGGATAGAAACAAGAAGCTCATGTTTACCGCTTTACGTGAAGTTACATTGTCAGAGGCTCCTTTCAGTGTCCCATAACATCTGCACCAGCTTTGAACATTTGGTGGGGTTCGTTGTAGAAAAAATCTGGTGAAATGAGTGGGATGAGAGATGGAGAAAATAGGATTTTACAGTTCCCCTCAGAAGGCAAAGACTACAGAAATCATTCTGGAGGGCACTCTTATCGAAGACAACTTAGGTCTTTGCTTTGTGGCTTGCTTGCATTTTCTCCAAGTACCTTGTTGCCTGTCATGTACTATGGTTATATGTTTAGGTCTTTGGCTGTTTGTAATACAAAGCAGTTTTTAATTTTGGTGGAAGCAATGCTGCTGGGATAGTCTGAGATATCATGAATGGAGTGGGGAAGATACAATAATCTCAGTATATTTGTAGTTTAGTATTGAATAGCAAAGATAATTTTCTTTCTTAAAAAATAGAAAGGCCCTTAAATTTATAAGCTGAAATCTTTACTCTCTTTTATTCAAAATGAAAAGCAAGTACACTTTACATTTTATGATTTAATAATTTTTGAGTTCTGCAGACATGTTCTAACTGAAGATGATACAAAGAAAATAATGAAGACTACTAAAGAAACTGCAAAGGGGGTATTCCTTTTGCCATGTTGGTAATCAAAGAGCTGAATTTATTTTTAAGTGGAAAAAGAATCCATTAGGTTAAATTGGAGAAAACCAGTCATTTAGCCCATGGGAGCTGTGTTTTTAAAGAAGCAGCAAGATTTGTTCCTAATGACAAAAATCATAGTGCAGCGCTGTTACAAACATTCACACACTCTGCAGCATCATGTATACATGGGGTGACTAAATCACATTGTAAGTATTTTTTTATTGATTTACTTCTGGCGTGCTGGCTTTTAAAAGTCTTAATTGGAAACGGTACCTTGATACATGACGTATTCAACATAAACTAGTTTGATCTACCTTAAATATGGATGGTCTCTGATGGTACTGACATATCGGTGAGGTAAAATCAGCAAGATTTCTGCCTCACGAACTTCTGCCTTTTCCTCTACAGCTGTTCTGCCTGATGCTGCTAGTGTTTCCATGGAAACAAGCCAGCTCTTGGCTTCCCCTTTCCATTGAAAACAGCCTTCTTGCTGTCACTTATTCATCTGGGAAAAGCATTTTGTCATGGCTCTGACACAAATGCCACAGAGATGATCAGCCCTATCATTTCAGAAGTAGGTGCCGTTATGTATGTGCACATGCACGCAGCCAGATACGTCTTCCAATGACTTTAAAATAATTTGGTTAATGGACTTAGGCTGAATTCACTTGGGTGTAACTGGAAGTGGAAATTAACTTAACGTACAGAGTCCAAGATAAAAATAATGGCATGAGAAGTGTTTTTCGTTGAGAAATCTAGCACACCACATTCCCTTCTTTTGTGTAGTTAATATGCGGTGTGCCATCTGTCACGTTTGTTTACACTGGTAAAATTCCCAGGTGGTTTACCTGGGGGATGAGGACTTATTTCAAACTGATGAAGATGGCTGTGGAAGGAGTAGCTCACAACTGGTGAATATTCCCTAGATCTCACTGCTGCTGTCAGATGAGGTGTCACGTTATCATGCCTTCATCACTTCATGCAGTCAGGATATGAGGGAAGTGACCTAAGAAACCCAATATCTTTAAGGTCGATGTATTCTCTAAAGTGTCCGATACTTTATCCAAGGTCAATGTATCAGTGGACACGCTGTGAAGAAGTCATCATTTTTGTTTGCTTTGGTGAATTTGCATTGAGTAGTAGTCAAAAAAGTTCCGAATTTGGACTAATCACAAAGCCTTGGTTAGCTTCCTGCGGTATAGGAACTTGAAGATATTTTAAGGAAAGTTTGTGTAGACCTTGCCCATCCTTTTCTCTCTCAGTGAACACTGGCAGAAAGTGACTGCTCTCTTCCTCTGAAGTTACCTTGCAATTGGGGTAGAAGGATCAGAGGAGAAGAAAGGCATCCTTGTATAAATGTTTAATATTTTAATAATCTCTTAGGAAGTGCTGTCCAATAGTTTTAAGATGGAAGAAACAAGTTCTTTTCATTATCAAGTGCTCTTTCAGCTCTGTTCATTTCTCCAGAGATGACTCCTGCTTGTCCTGTGCTTCAGACTCTTGACTCATCTTGGGGAAACACAGTTTCCTTCAACCACAGCTGGAAAGAAAGGGTTTATGCTCTATATTTAGCACCCGGTGGGGATAATATGTTCCCTTTTAATTCACTTTACTAAACAGTTCTCTAGACCTCACTTCCGGCAATGTGATTTACATAAGCTTATTGGTTCAGTGCAGTTTTTTTGTTTTGTTTGTTTGTTTGTTTGTTTTATTTTGTTTTGATGTTTTCTTTTACTGTGAGTAAAGTAGTTAGGCTACTAAATTAGAGATATGGTAATATTTGGAATATCGAACTATCGTTCTGCTTAGTATATTTCTTGCAGCGATACAGTTCCTTTACACATGCTCATTCTTTGACACACACACACACACACACACACACACACACTCCCTTTCCGGTACAAATTAGTAATTGCAGAGGAATAAAAATTTGTTTTTAAAGCAATGCTAAGCAAGGCTATTGAAGAATTTCATGTGGTGTGCAAATAGGGGAGCAACGTCCACTCTTACTTATGTGTTATTTCCAAAGAGGATGTCTGCTGGTCAAAGGCTGAAACATGAGGATATTTCACACAGCAGAAATAATTTTATGTGGTGAACACAATGTACGGTTGTGGAAATGCGTATGAACATACTAACACAAAGCATTGGCAATATTTATCAACATGCTAAAAGAGATTCAAGCTGTGGCCATGACTTGGTACATTTTCTTCCCTATCCTGACATATATACATGTATCTTGATATAACTGAATCGTAATTTTGTCAGAGTTGTAGAAATAGCTGTAGAGAACAAACATGAAATGACACCTTTCTTTTTTTTTTTGTTCTACAAATGTGTTTAACATCTTTGTTGGTACTTTATGATGACTCAAGCACTTTTGAAGGAAAAACTCCACTTCCATCTGTTAATCAGTAGTGTTAAAAATAGAATGCCATCTAATCACATGAAACACAATTTCTTGTGATTTGTGATTTGCTTTACAGAATTTTTGACTGAAGTGATGACTTGAAGTTAAAAACCAAATTATCCAATTATGTACTATAACCATGTGTTGTTTCTTCCCCCTGCCTTTAAGTTGAAAATTCTGAGGTGTTGATGTGGTTTTGGTCTTTTTGCCAATAGATTAATTATTCCAGGGGTGTATTAATTCAGTCCTTTCTAATAACAGACAGCCTTTTGTAGTTTCTTGGTGTTTCTAGATGAACCTTAGATACTGGGTCTTTGATATGCTCCTGCAAAATGCTGTAAACAGAACAGTCTGTCACCCCAGTGCTGAATAATGTGGTAAAATTCATTAATATGCATTAAATATACCACACAATATCATCTAGTTTTAGTCTGGAAGAAGTATAGTTTCTTAAGTGTTTACATTTGCATTAGTGTGCAGCGTACAAAATTGCATTTTTTTACTGTGCCTAGTCTTTGCAAGAAAGGAAGCTTGAAGTTTGCGGGTTTGGTTTTGTGGGTTTGGTTTTGTTAACTTGTAGTATACTAACTTTATAGCTGTAATCTTATTTTTAACTGTTTAATCTTTATAGTGAGAGAAATATCTATTCTTTAGGCATATCTTCCACCACACAGAAATGCTTGCTTTGATAAAAGCTGCTCCAGTACTATGGGTCTGTCTGATAGTACGTGGAGTTTACAGAGCAACAGAAATCAACCACCGACAATTAATGGTTGAGAAAATTCTTTTTCAGTGAATTGCATCGAAGCCGATGAAGTTCAGGAGAGTGAGAAAGAGAACTGCAGAATGGTGCTGTGGATGGTGGCGAGCACATTTTTAATAGAATCATAGAATCATCGAATCATCGAATCGTAGAATCGTAGAATCATAGAATCATAGAATCGCAGAATGTTGAGATTTGGAAGGGACCTCGAAAGATCACCTAGTCCAGCCCCCCTGCAGGATCCCCTAGGGCAGCCACACAGGAGTGTGCCCAGGCGGGTTTTGAAAGTCTCCAGAGAAGGAGACTCCACAACCTCTCTGGGCAGCCTGTGCCAGTGCTCTGTTGCCCTCACAGTAAAGAAATTTTTCCTCATGTTGAGGTGGAACTTCCTATGTTCTAACTCAAACCCATTATTCCTTGTTCTATTACTGGGCACCACTGAGAAGAGATCGTCTCCTTCCTCTTGACACCCACTCCTCAGATATTTATATACATTAAAAAGGTCCCCTCTCAGCCGTCTCCTTGCAAGGCTAAACAGCCCCAGTTCTCTCAGTCTCTCTTCATAGGACAGATGTTCAGGATGTTGTGAGGATGAGGAGCACAGGCCGAGCTCCCGACGGTTTTGCAAGGGGGCTGCGTCGGCGCCTGCTGCAGCACCAAGAGAGAGGCCTCAGCCATCCCTGATGGCATCCTGCTGGCTGGTGCTCTTAAGTAGAGGGAAGAATAATGTCTTCTAATCCTATTTCTGTTGGCCTACTTAATTTCTCAGATCATAAATGTTCACAAAATGTATTAGGCTTTTATATGCTGTCTGCTATGAGATTGAGGATAATCAAGTATGTAGTAATTAGTATTTCATATAAAGCCTGTACAAAACCAGATATGTTTTTTTTTAAAAGTAGTG